GCGAGCACCACGTACCGCATGCCTCTTCTTGTCAAGTTGACGCGGTGCGCGTCTCTTCCTTCCTCGCTTTCCTATGGAACCTCTTTCTTTCCACTGCATCTTGCCATCCCAACTGAAAGCACATCTCCACAGCTGATCAAAATTTAGTACCATGTACGGGTGTACGCCATCTTTCAACAAATCTTGGTAGTGCTCCCGGTACATTTTCATGTCTGGGTGATTGAAAGGTAAACTTGCCTGCTCTGAGGAAGCAGACAACAAGCTCCAACCCCAACTCTTGATGAAATGCTTGCACCATGGCACTGTGACATAATTAAGAGGCTCTGGAGAGGGCAAAAGGACCTTTGAAAGACCTGAGATTGAAAGCTGGCCCTTGGCAAACATTTCCCTGAACTGCGCATTTTGCGCATCGATCAGTGGCTTTGTCTCTGGCAAAGCGTTGTTCCAATTCTCGATCAGAATGTTTGCCGATGTCTCCTTGGAGTAAAAGAGTTTTCACTTGGATGCACTGGTGTTGATGGTTCAGCCGTATGGTGTTGCAAAAACCCTTTAACATAGCTATGGAGTCCTCCTGAGGATACTAGCTACTTGGACTTCCACCCGATGACATGTATACGAATAAATAAACCTAAAACGTGGCCACAGTGGCAGATCGCATGTCCTTCAAACCCGCACCCCCAACCAAAGGTGCTCCATCCTGTTAAATCCGAGGGTCGATGTCTCTCCAAGTCACTACTTCTTTTCGTTCAGTCACCTCCGATTGGCCTAGCACGTGCTCTGCGATGATTCGGTCGAGATCTTTTTGTAGTTCCTCAGGCACGAAACCTCCCACAGGCCTCCCTTTGGCTGGAAGCGCAAACTTCTGACGCCATGCTTTCGGCACTTCGACGAGGCGGCTGCGATCTGAGGCAGGCAACAACTCCCATTTTTCGTCTTCGGCTTGCTTTGCCCATTTGTGTACATGACACGTGCGAACAATGTTTGGTAATTGCCTTTCAACTTCTTTCTGCAGATTCCTTTTCAAGATGTCTTTGGCTTTGGCTCTGTGCTCCAAAAAAGCCTCCCTTTCTTCATTCGTGAGATTTCTAGGAATCCTTTCACGTGCTACTGCTGCTGCCTCGTCCCGGTTTTTTTTCAATTCATTGTACAGCCGCTTTGAGTTTGTCTTCAATCCAGATCTGCCTACGGGCCTTTGCAGGTTTCTCATCCCACTCTTCGTCCTTCCTGCCTCTCCTCAGCTTTCCTTTCAGAGCCACCTTGCTGTGATAGTTTTGTCTTCTTCGCTTCCTGACAAAGATAGCTTGGGGACAACCGCATTTAACATAGACATGGCCCAGCCGAGAATGCACACGTGAACAGCTAACCATCAGCTGGTGGATCTGCAATGGAAAATAAACATTTAATATAGCGCTGAATTACCATATTTATATTGATGTGCATGTATGATCCAAAAGATGGACCCTCCAGCCATCCTAGAGCAGTCAAGCGTCTTGATTTTCGCAGGATCCTGATTGCTGAATTTCTCAAGTCTTTGCTTCTCGTCTTCTTCCTTCTTTTTTGCTTTTCCGGCAAGTTGATCAAGAGAGGCACTCTGTTTCTCCAAATTCTCTTCAGTTGCTTTCAAATGCTGTCTGAGTTGCGCCAGCTTCTCTGTCACAGCCTCAAGGCAATCTGGAAAACTGAGCATGTTGTCCTGGAAAACCTCGGGAATGTCGCCCAACTTGGGAAGAGCATCGGCTGGGAAAGCAGTCATGAAATAGTCTGGCCAAGACATGGCTGGGTCTTTTTTGCTGCCATGTGTTGCAACATCTATGATGTAAGAAAGGATTGTTTTCCAGAGCTCGACTGCCTCTTTGGTGCTTTCCAAGTCTTGAGTCAATCCAGACACTTGTCCCTCAAGTTTGCTTGTCATGCCCTCCAACCTTGCTTTCTTCCTCGCATGCGTGTCCACCTGCCTCTGCAACAAGGTCCTGAAAGGCTTGGAGCATTTTGACAGACAAGAGATACAATAAGAACTGTTCTTAACCTAAACATGGAGCTGGGCCGACTGCATACGTTGCATCTCTTACCCGTACCCCGAAAAGCCTTAACATAGCTATGCGCCGTGGACCTGTGGTAGGGTAAATGTTAGTATACTGAGATAATGGTTCAGGCCCCCAGAATAACGGAATTCAAACCTCTCCTCTTGTTGCTCAACTTGGCTTGGGCTGACTGCATACGTTGCATGTCTTACCCGTACCCAGAAAATCCTTAACATAGCTATGCGCCGTGGACCTGTGGTAGGGTAAATGTTAGTATACTGAGATAATGGTTGAGGCCCCCAGAATAACGCAATTCAAACCTCTCCTCTTGTTGCTCAACTTGGCTTCCACGACTGCCTTGTGTTTCTCACCTGCTTCGTGCTGATCAACCTTTTTCTGGTAGTCTTCTGAGTGCAAGAGCCCCAGTGGCAAAGATCCCAACTTGCCATTTGGCACGATGAACACAGAATCAGGTTTGGCATCCACCTGATCATTTTTTTGAAACTCATGGAACACGATGGTGATGTTCTCAAAGTCAGGGCGGTCGTGGACTTTGTTGTTGCTCAGAGGTCTGGATGTGGGAAGGATAAAAACGTAGATCCCCGTCTTTGGATGCGACCCACGTGAAGGGTCAAGGTTGTTCGGAATCTTTGCCACAACCTCCCCACGGGGAAAAAACTTGGGAAAAACACCATTAACATAGCCATCAGTCTATGGTTGGGTGGCTTGTATCCCAGCAGGATTCTTGTAAAGCTGTCATCATAGTTGCATATGCCTAGTGGTACTTTAACATGGCTACGGTCATCCTTAATTGATTAGCTTTTTGGCTATATTTGTGATCAAACACATGCCTTCTTTGCAATTACAACCAAATGCTATGAAGCTGCCCTGGGGTAATTTAAAATAGCTATGGAGAACAAATCATATATATATATAATGTGTATATTGTATACATAAAATATATATATATATATAATTGTTTCTTTAGGTATTCCTTGGTCCAGTGTCCATAGCTATGTTAAAAGCCCCTCTGATACAACATGGTTTGGCAGTACCAGGCCTGAGATATGTCTCCAGCGAAGGTATCAAAGGTGAAGATTCCGCCAACAGGGTTGTTTTTCAATTGGATGCTAGCATGCTTCCAAAAGAGTGTTTCGTCCTCGAAGTAATCTCCCATCATCAGGCAACACAACCGGGGCCTGGACTTTTTGTACATCCTGCAAGCATCTTCTCCCAGAACCCCGACATAGTTTTCAAGCCTCTTTTTCTCTGCAGTGTCTGGAAGAGTTTCCACCTGCTTGAACTTGTTCAGCGCAACAGCTGGAACAACCAGATCACAGTGCATGAAACGATCATGTGCACTTACATTTTGTTCCGCACCCTTTCCAGGCATGTCAAGAGCATCTTTCCCATACATGTCAGTTATATCCTGATTTTCATCTTGCTTTTCTCCCTCCTGATTTGGTGTTTTACTGGAGCTACCTTTTTCTGCTTCCTTGCTTGGGTGGGAACCCCCAGAAGAACTTGGCTGAGCAGGATCGACCGATTCGGATGGGTCTGCCACAGGCTCATTTTTGAAACCAGGATCTGCCACAGGCTCACTTGTGAAACCAGGATCTCCACCACCATATTGCGAAGACTTTTCGATGTCTTCCTTCAATTGGTTGTCACCTGAAGGGAATCTGTCACTCCAATAGACAATAACATGGCTACTGGCCCGCTATTGGATGTGTCCGGGGCATTGTTTTTATTAAAACTGATGCAGGTGATATACATGGTAAATATACCTGATTGAAGCAAAATTGATTCAGAACTGCCGGAAGCTTGTTAACATAGCCGTGCTGATGACATGTGTATAGATTTTTTTTGTGTCCCCATACACTTCGAAAGGGCATTAACATAGCTATGCACTGTGCAGAGACGTATGAGACAAAACAAAATGATAGGTACCACATAACTATTCACCACAAATGGGAAAAACACTGTTATGGTGCTTTTTGAATCTTTCTCAATCCAAATAATGGTCAACAAAGCTATGGCACATCCGAAGGTAGCCACAGAAATGGTAGATTGAGCTGTTGTGTGGATTTTCGAACAACAAAATGTTAAAAACTATTTTCTATATACGTTTGTCTGCTGTAGTCTCTGGTAGTTGCCAATGTCAAGGCAGTTTAACCTAGCTATCGTCTGGCCCTACATGGCCAGCATTTACCCCAGTGCAGCATAGACTTGTTTACAGAACTCTCTCCCAAGGGACTCTACTCTCTTCAGGAGTGCTTGTAAGTGACAGTGATCAATGCCAGTTTTTTTAACATAGACTTTCTGATTAAATTTCTCGCAGCTGCACATCAAAAAAGCTGGGTCCCCAACAGTTCTGGAAGATGATAGCATCGACAAAATCAGCTTTGCGTCTCGACTTGACCTTGACTCCGAAGACCTGCGCTCTTTCCCGAAGTTCTGCGGCCGTCATGGAGCGCGTGATGTCCACCTCGAAGTTGCGCTTCTGGATCAAGCAGAGAGCGATGTCGGCCGCAATTTTCGTAGATGTGAAGGCCTGCCGAAATTATTTAGATAGAATGCACAGCACAATCTGTATCTGGGAACTTATCCTCCTAACATAGCTATCCAACAGGAGGAAAAACATACATTTGTGTCATTTCCAAGAAACTTCATCGTAAACTTTCAATGGTTTCAGGTCTCTCGGCATTTCAATTACGAAGTAGCCAGGTTGTCGGTCCCAACCACTAAGTGAATCTAGCGTCTCTTCTTGCTCTTTTGAAATACCTTTCCTCCATTCGTATGTGGGGTCTGTGTCTTCCTGTGGCTGACCTTCCTCTTCTGCTGCCTTGCCTTCATGCTGTTCTTGTTCTGGTTGCTTTTGCTGTGAAGTGTCTGCTTGTGGTACATCTGCTTGTGGTGCATCAGCTTCTGCTTGCTGTTGCTCGGGAGCGGTGCCTGGGATCTCTTGTTGCTCTGGCACCTGCGGCTGGCTGACCTGCTTCTCAGATGCTGCTCCATGCTTTGCCTCAAGCTGTTCTTGTTCTGGTTGCTTTTGCTGTGAAGTGTCTGCTTGTGGTACATCTGCTTGTGGTGCATCAGCTTCTGCTTGCTGTTGCTCGGGAGCGGTGCCTGGGATCTCTTGTTGCTCTGGCACCTGCGGCTGGCTGACCTGCTTCTCAGATGCTGCTCCATGCTTTGCCTCAAGCTGTTCTTGTTCTGGCTGCTTTTGCTGTGAAGTTTCTACAGCTTCTGCTTGCTGCTGCTCGGGAGCGGTGCCTGGGATCTCTTGTTGCTCTGGCACCTGCGGCTGGCTGACCTGCTTCTCAGATGCTGCTCCATGCTTTGCCTCAAGCTGTTCTTGTTCTGGCTGCTTTTGCCGTGAAGTTTCTACAGCTTCTGCTTGCTGCTGCTCGGGAGCGGTGCCTGGGATCTCTTGTTGCTCTGGCACCTGCGGCTGGCTGACCTGCTTCTCAGATGCTGCTCCATGCTTTGCCTCAAGCTGTTCTTGTTCTGGCTGCTTTTTCCGTGAAGTTTCTACAGCTTCTGCTTGCTGCTGCTCGGGAGCGGTGCCTGGGATCTCTTGTTGCTCTGGCACCTGCGGCTGTCTGACCTGCTTGTCAGATGTCGCCACATGCTTTGCCTCATGCTGTTCTTGTTCTGGCTGCTTTTGCTGTGAAGTGTCTGCATCAGCTTTTGGCTGCTGCTGCTGCTGTTGCTGCGCATGAACGTTCTCCTTCTCTTGGGTAGCTTGTTCGTTGTTCTCTGGAGATTGTGTATCCTGTTGTTGCCCTTTCTGCTGATGCTCTCCTTCAGAATGAACTGTGCTTGGGGACTGTGCTTGTTCTTCACCTTCTATGTTCTGCATTTCTTTCAACCTGTCACAACCTTGGCTTAACATAGCTACCGGCCCCACCTGGATGCCTTCCCAATGGATGCTTCTATGCACACGAAGTGCTGTACAAAGGAACAATCAGAAAGTGAGCGTGGCAAAAATTAAGGATATGACATGATCTGTGCACCATCAAATTCTTCAAACTCTCTTTGGACTTCGCTTTGATTTTGTAGGCATTGCCAAGAGCTCGCAAGGACCCCATCTCCGTTCGGCTGAATTTCTGATCTTCCAAGTCCCGATGGCGTAGCAACTTCACCAAACACCGCGCTTGGTAGACTGGGTCTTTAAAAGCCTGGGGGCTGTTTTTGATGGTAAAATGCAGCTAACCTAGCCATTGGCATGGTTGCAGGGGATTGCCATTCCAAACAATCAACACAATAGAAGGGAATTGCGTAATTTGGACTCTATGTCGAAGATCTGTAGTACCATTGGGAAGTCACCTGTGACTAGGGTATCCTTTCAACATGGCCACTGACCTTGAAAAGGAGTATTTTTAAACATGGCTATTGAGCTGCCTCCAGGGGGTTGCAAAGCCAAGGAACCACAAGGATATCCATACTGTTCCCGACCAAAGCCATGATATATTTTGTTGATCACCTCTCTTTCATTAGAGAGAGCATTTTGTAACATTTCGGATGTTCAGAAAAGGAACGCATCATTTGAACATATTTGGTATCCATGTTGGGGATCTGTATTACTATTAGGAAGTCACATATGAATAGGAAGGTTTTTAAACATAGCTACTGCGCTGCCTCCAGGGGATTGCCAAGCCAAGAAGCCACAACGATATCCATACTGTTTCTGGCCAAAACCATGAGCAATTTTTTTGATCATATCTCTTTCATTAGAGAGAGCCTTTTGCAACATTTTGGGTTCTCAGAAAGGGGATTCATCATTTGAACATATTTTCAATCCATGTTGGGGATCTGTAGTACTCTTGGGAAGACACCTATGAATAGCCTGAAAAAGAATGTTAGGGATGTTTTTAAACATAGCTAAGCATAGCTTGAGCCAGGGGAACATTGCTCAAGCCAAGTTGGGGATCTGTAGTACTCTTGGGAAGACACCTATGAATAGCCTGAAAAAGAATGTTAGGGATGTTTTTAAACATAGCTATGAGCTGCTTTGCTATCCATACTGTTTCTGGCCAAAACCATGAGCAATTTTTTTTGATCACATCTCTTTCATTAGAGAGAGCCTTTTGTAACATTTTGGGTGCTCAGAAAGGGAATTCATCATTTGAACATATTTTCAATCCATGTTGGGGATCTGTAGTACTCTTGGGAAGTCACCTATGAATAGGCTGAAAAAGAATGTTAGGGATGTTTTTAAACATAGCTATTGCGCTGCCTCCAGGGGATTGCCAAGCCAAGAAGACACAACGATATCCATACTGTTTCTGGCCAAAACCATGACCAATTTTTTTGATCACATCTCTTTCATTAGAGAGAGCCTTTTGCAACATTTTGGGTTCTCAGAAAGGGGATTCATCATTTGAACATATTTTCAATCCATGTTGGGGATCTGTAGTACTCTTGGGAAGACACCTATGAATAGCCTGAAAAAGAATGTTAGGGATGTTTTTAAACATAGCTACTGAGCTGCCTCCAGGGGATTGCCAAGCCAAGAAGCCACAACGATATCCATACTGTTTCTGGCCAAAACCATGAGCAATTTTTTTTGATCACATCTCTTTCATTAGAGAGAGCCTTTTGTAACATTTTGGGTGCTCAGAAAGGGAATTCATCATTTGAACATATTTTCAATCCATGTTGGGGATCTGTAGTACTCTTGGGAAGTCACCTATGAATAGGCTGAAAAAGAATGTTAGGGATGTTTTTAAACATAGCTACTGCGCTGCCTCCAGGGGATTGCCAAGCCAAGAAGCCACAACGATATCCATACTGTTTCTGGCCAAAACCATGAGCAATTTTTTTTGATCACATCTCTTTCATTAGAGAGAGCCTTTTGTAACATTTTGGGTGCTCAGAAAGGGAATTCATCATTTGAACATATGTTCAATCCATGTTGGGGATCTGTAGTACTCTTGGGAAGTCACCTATGAATAGGTTGAAAAAGAATGTTAGGGATTATTTTAAACATGGCTACTGAGCTGCCTCCAGGGGATTGCCAAGCCAAGAAGCCACAACGATATCCATACTGTTTCCGACCAAAACCATGATCAATTTTTTTTGGTTACATCTCTTTCATTAGAGAGAGCCTTTTGTAACATTTTGGGTGCTCAGAAAGGGAATGCATCATTTGAACATATTTTCAACCCATGTTAGGGATCTGGAGTCTATTGGGAAGTCACCTGTGAATAGGTTGAAAAAAAAATTAGGGATGTTTTTTAAACATGGCTACTGAGCTGCCTCCAGGGCATAGCCAAGCCAAGGAACCACAAGGATATCCATACTGTTTCCGACCAAAACCATGACCAATTTTCAAAGGTTACATCTCTTCCATTAGAGAGAGCATTTTGTAACATTTTGGATGTTCAGAAAGGGAACGCATCATTTGAACATATTTTCAATCCATGTTGGGGATCTGTAGTACTCTTGGGAAGTCACCTATGAATAGGTTGAAAAAGAATGTTAGGGATGATTTTAAACATGGCTACTGAGCTGCCTCCAGGGGATTGCCAAGCCAAGAAGCCACAACGATATCCATACTGTTTCCGACCAAAACCATGATCAATTTTTTTTGGTTACATCTCTTTCATTAGAGAGAGCCTTTTGTAACATTTTGGGTGCTCAGAAAGGGAATGCATCATTTGAACATATTTTCAATCCATGTTAGGGATCTGGAGTCTATTGGGAAGTCACCTGTGAATAGGCTGAAAAAAATTAGGGATGTTTTTTAAACATGGCTACTGAGCTGCCTCCAGGGCATAGCCAAGCCAAGGAACCACAAGGATATCCATACTGTTTCCGACCAAAACCATGACCAATTTTCAAAGGTTACATCTCTTCCATTAGAGAGAGCATTTTGTAACGTTTTGGATGTTCAGAAAGGGAGCGCATCATTTGAACATATTTGGAATCCATGTTGGGGATCTGTAGTACTCTTAGGAAGTCACCTATGAATAGGTTGAAAAAGAATGTTAGGGATGATTTTAAACATAGCTACTGCGCTGCCCCCAGGGGATTGCAAAGCCAAGGAACAGGATCGCTATCATAAAGGTCCAAGCTGTCTTGTTCAGCTGGCATGTGCACAAGAAAGCGCTTTTGGTCCTCACACCTTTCCCAACCTGATAGCGTGTCCAGTTCCTCCAAGATTTCGCAAGGGAGTATTCTTTTCCAGTTCGCCCTGTGCCCCTGCTCTCTCACGAAACTAGAGTTTTGACCAAAGACGTGGATGAGTGAGGCATAGTCTTCAAGTTCCTTCTTCACTTTGACTGGGTGCATAGCAGGGATGATGTTGTCTCGCACATCGGGTACGGAATCTTGGGAATTGTTTAGCCACGACTCCTGCTGTGGAAATGTGTGAATTTAATCTGCCAACAAGCAGTTAACATAGCTATGGCCCCGGTTCCATAGTTGTTAAAACAACATGAGAAACAATGTGTTCTGTCCTCACAAATGTAAGAGAAGTGTTCGGCCCCATTCCCAGATCCATCAAAAGACATGTGGGACCATATCCACACCGGAACACGCTGCTCTCCGCCCTCAACGCCCAAGTCGGGCACCACTGTTGTCGGTACCATCCCTGGTTGTGGAGGAGTAGGCCCAGTCACGATGCAAAGCCGAACTCCGAGAGCAGAGCACACCCATTCCTCAGATGTGGCTGCAGGCTTCTGGACATTATCTTGCATTATATTGTTTATAGCAACCGTCTATATACATATAATAAGGTGCTGTCACTATGGCTACGTTAATTGTCCGATATCCTAATCCGAACCTCCTCAACTACTGTCTGGTTTTAAACATAGTCCTTGACAGTAGGCGTTGTTTCATCGATCAATTACCCACAAACAGACCATGGCGAGCGTGGGAAAGCTACGTTAAAAGACAAAATGTCTTTTTATTGTTGACTGAACAAAAGACAAAAATCTACACTTCGTTCCTTTTCAATGCCAAGTGCAGGTAATCCTGAGGCTGGCTGTCCTGGGATCTAGCACGGTAAGGCTACGAAAACAGAAGGAATGCTTGTTGCAATCCTCCTCCGGTCACTTCTCGCTAACATGGACCCTGCGGGCATTCTCAGAACAACTCAAACCAAAACAATCTAAAACATCAAATCTACAAGTGATACTTTTCAACTACAATGATGTTTGCCTCAGAGTCACCATGTCAGCGCGTAAAGCAATAACCCTCAAGCTCTACTGGACCTATTACGCTAGAAGTATCTCACTAAACATAGTTTTTAACTCAGTCGTCACGATTGATCACAGCCCATGTCTCATCGGTAATGGGTGGAAGTCTACGCAAACGAGGACGCCTCAGAGGAGAAGCGACAACTTCCCAGCCAAAGTAGTCCATCAACGGACGAGGTCCTGCGGCAGCATCACCATCTGGCACTGTTGGCAAAGATGATTCGGTCGTCACATCTGTGACACTTGGCTGCTCTCTCCGCTCTGGATCAAATCTCTCATCCATTCGTGGCACTACGGACACTGGCTCTGCATGATCACCATCAGCTAAGCTAATGGAAGGGTCCCCGGCAGCTTCGGAATTCACTGACATTGGGACGGAACTTGGATCATGAGTTCGGACGGCCTTCGATTCCATGGTCGTAGACGACTGCTCAGGGAAGGCATCGGTAGATGACCTCTTCATTCTTGATTGGAAGAGTCTAGTCTAGCTCTTTAAGGAGTTCTAAGTCACTACCTTGATTGCTGTGCCGCTTGAGCCTTCACAACTGTTGTATGTACATCGGAAGCTGTCTAACGTAGCTCTGGGACCTGTGTGCGTAGCTACCTGACTGTTCTCGAGGGTTACAGGTACATTAAGGTCGTTGAACTCATTGATTCA